TTCACTTTTTCATTATATTATTTGTATTTAATTGTGTTACTTATTGAACCTTTTGCAAACAGAAACAAGCAGTCTGTAGTTAGCTTTATACATTTAGCATGTATTTCACAGCCTCTAACTTCCATGATGTAACACATACGATTAACACGAACTTTTATCATTTTAAAACCGCTGACTTATATCAAAATACCTTCTTCTAAAAAGAAGGATCCCAATACAATATTAAAACTGCACTGATTGAAAGCATCATGCTATACATGCTTTATTTTATGAAGGAAAATTAATTAATCAATTTATTATATTGTTTTATGGTAAGTGTTATATGCGCTTTATATAAAAAAAATCTTCAATTTTTTTGCATTGAAAAAAATGTATCTTTTATTATCAATGATTATGAATCATTACAAGGATATGCATATAATATCTTTAAAAATTATCATATACAAGGATTCTCCCAAAAAGTCGTAGACAAAGTTTATAACTTTATAAATTTTAAACCAATACTAACCAAATTTTGCATAGCTGTCATTTATGCAATGTTCCTTTAAATAGTGAATTCTTAAATAGATATCTTCCATACTTATAATATTATGATGATTTATAAAAAGGCATGGGGCAGAACTTTAAAAATAATTCTATTTTATAATGAAAAAAAATTATCCTTAAATGAATATCTGCAATATTTTTCTACCTGATTCAATGATTATAATTTAAATGAATTACAATATGTACAGATTCCTTTCTGGTGCCAGAATTACGAGTATATATGATAAGCAGTAACATTCCCCTTATTATTTTCTGTTCTATAAACTAAAAAAATATGAATATGAATATTCCTGTTAAGTCATTTCTTATTTCATAGTAAGCTGTCTTCTTTCTATCTAAGCAAACAATTTAAAAACAATTTGATTTTATCACACTATGCAGTAAAAATCGGTTATAAAGAACTCGCTTATAAAGAAATTTCATTTAATACAAGATTTTTCACTATATTTCTAATACGGATATAAAGAACCCCGCTTATAAAAAGCAAAATTCCGGGTCCCAGAGACTTCCTTATAGATTTTCTTAGTATCTTTTTTGTTTGCAATAAAAACGATTATTTTTTAAAATTTCAATATTTTTTGTTATTTGAAGATTGTAGTAAAATAGGGATGTCTGCTCTTCCCTCTTCTCTTCACATTCTGTATTGACTGAATCATGCATGAAACTGTCAAGAATAAGCGGATGGGAATCAGTTAGGCTTTGTCAGATATGCTCGAAGACCTAGATTTTGCAGATAATATAGCACTGCTAGATCACCGACATCGTGACATGCAAGAAAAAACCAACCAGCTTGCAACAACAGCAGGAAAGATTGGTCTGAAAATTAATAACATCAAAAACGAAGATCATGAAGGTCAACACTAAATCAGACGAACCCATAACCTTATATAGTATAAAAATTGAAGCTGTCACGTACTTTGTCTATCTAGAAAGTAAGATCACAATAGATGGGAACTCTGAGGTAGATGTCCTAGCTCGGATGTCTAAAGCCACAGGATCGCATGTTGCACTGCGAAACATCTGGAGGTCAGCAAAGTTCAGTATTAATACCAAACATGGGAGTTTTCAAGAGTAATATGATTCGACTTCTCCTGTATGGTGCTGAATCATGGAAAGTAAAAAAGCCATTTCAAACAAGCTAGATGCTTTCCAGATGTTGCCTTTGTACAAAAGGAATAACACCAGTCCTCTATCCCAAGTAATGGGGAAAAGAAAATGGCCGCGGATAGGACACATATGCGGAATGCACCCAACCTCCATCCTCCATCAAAAGGATTGCATTGAGATGAACATCAACCGGTAAGAGAAATAGAAAAAGACCAAAAGAGACTCGGAGAAGATCGGTGGAGATAAAAATGTAGGAGAACAACTTGACATAGGGACGGGTACAGAGAAGGGCTGCATTTAATTTCCGGAATTTTTTGAAATTTTTAACATTTCATTTCCGACATTTAATAGTTTTCATTTCCGCCATTTTAAAGTTTTCAACTCCGACATTTTTCAGGTAGTACTTTTCGGCAATGAAAGCAGGATTGAAGACTTCATTTATAAAAAAAAAATGAAAGAATAAATCATGAAAAAATCATTGAAATCCAAGATATTAATGATTTAGATATTTAAAAAATCACAAAATATTACGAGTGATTGCCCTATATTTATCTCAAAATTAAATTTGTGGAGATAAATATAGAATATTAATTATCTATGGCGGATAAAGGTTCCTGTGAATTTAAATTTTTTAACTTTAAACTTTTTTTTAACTTTTGTGAAATTTTGATTTGTAAAACGCTGTGTGCAATGAGAATTCTAGGGATATTTAGGAAAATGTAAAATGAGAACTCGGCTGTAATTTTGAAAAAAAGAAGCACAATTCAACAATTGGTAATACTAGTGTAAAGGAGAAATAATGTTGTTGCAGTGGACTTTTGAGATTGATTTCTGTTCATTATCTTTATATTTCATTTGATAGAATTTTGCATTTGTTTTAAAATGTAGTAGAGATTTTTTGGGAATTCTTCAAAGAAATATTCTTCACTTTTAAAAACAGGAAAGCATGACTTTCCTAGTCAAAATGTTCTATTTATATTGACCTTAAGGTTATCTCTATAGCTAGAATTGACAGACATACATACGATGTGGAATTTTTTAGTATCTTATAACGCTAGCAGATAGTCATTCACAACCAAATAGTATTGCTCATCCTCAGGTGATTCGAAGACTGTAATCTTGAAAAATAATGATTAAATGTGTCAAGAGAGGTCGAGTTTGAAAACAAATGCGTACCAGATATTCCACATACTATAATCCATCTTTTGAGTGTAAAATATATCAAGGGACAAGTGTGTCCGTTTTTGAAAAATGTTTTTGTGTACGATTTTTCATGATAATTACCAAATGATTAAATCTTATTCGAAATAAAAAAATATGATTTTTTTTTACTGATTTGAGAATAAGCTTGAGCAAAGCAAATTAAAATTTCAAGAATTCTTTAAGATTTTGAACAAAGCATACTATTAGTTGAAAATAATTGTTGCTTACCCAGCATTATATTCCGCTGACTTCGGAAATACATGTTTTAAATGCATTTTCTGTTCTTTTGATTTCTTAAAAGGGGTTTTATTTTTACTACGAGTCGCCTTTAAAGTCATTGATCCTATTTTTAAAACACTTGTTTTGTTTGAATAACCCTTGTTCCAAAATTAAAGATTTTTTTTGCGTAAAGCATAAGCAATAGGCAATGAGCACTTCCTTTAATGTATGGTATGTATCTGGTTTATTGAAGGGATGATTCATTTCACTATGTAAGCACTGACTGAGCACTAAAGGCGTTCCAACACAGATGGAGAATTTAACCTACATAACCCATGCGAGTGATGTCAGATTCCGACTTATACTAAGTTCTCACTTTCTATATCATTTATATCATCTCTTATAGCGTCATAGTTCTCACCGCTTTCTTATCTTATGCCAAGCTTTGAGATAGTCACTTTGAAGTCCTAGGTTTGACCTGACTAGGAGTGGAACCCATTGCCTTCCCATCACTATGTGAGGGCAAAACTAATTAAACCTTCAAGGCGTTTTTCTACAGTTGTGAATTCTTCGTACGTTATTCATTATTATACTCTTATTTTTATCTTGAATAAGTGAAACAAATATCAAATTTTCGTAGACTTTGCATTTTTTTTTTTTTTTTTTTTGTAAAGCTTCACCAAATTCTGTTTCAAAGAAAATTCCATCGCAAACATTCCCCGCTGAGACGTGCAAGTATGTCAAGATGAGTTTTTAATAAATTAATTTTAACGGATAGGGTTCATAAGACAGCTTAAATCGATCGAGGACATAACAGCAAAAACACAGTTCTTATGGAACATAATTATTCATCTTAAAAAAAAAAACAACACATTTTATTATTCTTTTATTCTTCGAAACCGTTACTGTGAGGCTATTTATATTTTTATTAGTTGGGAATATAAAAAGTGCACTGGTAACAATATAAAATCCCTTTCTTGGCTGAAACGTGAAGTTCCAATCATTTGTCGAAGTATAAAATGAGAAAAGATTTAATAACATTTATTATGAAAAACTCTTTTCCTGAACTAGGTTGAACTCGACAACGTACATATCTCGATCATTATTAATTAGATATTAAATGCTAATTAATATAAAGCAATGCAATTTTTCTGCACATTTATTCGAGGAAAACTGCATGTATAAACTTTTGACCAGCAGGGCCCTTTTGAGTTTAGAAAGATAATTTAACACTTTTATGTCAAATACATTGTAAATTAAAGTGATTTTATAATATCTATTAATATAATAGATTTTAATATATTTGTATTTATATCATGGGGCACTTCTATAAGAGTAAGGATACTGGTTTTGATTAATGCGAGTACATGTAGTAGCAGCACCCTTCTGTCTATATAAGAAAATATGAAACTCATATCATAATTGAAAATATTACGCATTTTTTAGCTTTACAAATGCATTTCATCCTACAGTGATAAAAGATTACAATCTGTAAATAGTAATTGGCTGATACAAGATTTAATATTAAAGGGCAAACACAATTAAAGAACCATGGATGAAAACAGAGCGTAATTGTGGTAGTTTAACAGCATTGACTTCGCAAAAGCGTGAATCTTTAAGACTAAAAATCAGAAGTACTTGGAAAATTGGCATGGCACGTCTTGACATAATATCTACCAATTTCAGACATGTACCAAGTGATGGATTTCTCTACGTGCAATTTTTATTCACATGTAGACATACACATTAGCTATAAAAGCAAACGTAATCTTGTCGCTATGTATTGATAACAAGCAATTTTTTTTCCTTTAACATAAAGGCATTTTACTAATCCTTGTTACTTGTGTATAAAAAATACACATTTTTAAAGCAAACAATTATAAAAATATATACTTCTATCATAAATAAGCACAAAATACCATGAATGAAGGGTAAACTATAAAGTACATAATTATATAAACATACTAAGCAAAATTGGTCAAATATTTTGAAAGCTTGCCATTCAAATTGGCAAGTGAAATAATTATACAAATAATTTTGTAAAAAAAGAAATTCAAATATAATTTTTTCCGAATGATGAGAAAATGAACTAATGCCTACAATTTGCATAATGTGTGCCATTTGTTTGTTCAAATTCATTTCAATAAATGGAGGCCCTTTTGTATTTATTTGTTAGTTACCACAAGTTGTACCAGTAAACTGTAAATTAAAAAAATAAAATCTTATACGAGGGTTGTTCGAAAAGTTCGTGGACTGATGCGATAAAATTATTACTATGTAGTCTATACTTACAAAATTTGTAATGAACATAAAACAACAAAAGTTAAAGAAATGTTGAAAATTTTAGCTTGATACCTTGAATATTTACCAAATTATCATAAAATAAAAAAGACATTATATGATCACCCGGCGCTGTCGCCATATAGTTTCATGGCGTCATTGTCTTTCAATGTCCGCATTCTCAACCTCATACACTTATCTTGATAAGTTTCCGTGGGTTAAGTAAAGATTTAAACCCGTCTTGTTTATATGATTTTACAATGTCATAAACAGCTTCTTTCAATGCATATAATATTGTAAATAGATCTGAAAGATCCTCACTTGATTATTACAGCATATTTGCTTGTCTGAGTTCAACATTTTTCAGTAGCCCATTTAAATATTTCCTAGGTCTATGCCAGTTTTTCCTGAGTGCGAAACTTCATAGAATGTTGGAAAAAGAAACCCACCCCCTTTCTGACGTCATTACAACCCCATAATTGTTTGGACGTTTCATATAAATTTTACGATAAAATTTCATAGAACTTACAGAATGGGGTAAAAATTGCAAATATTACGGTACAATTGTGTCATTCCACATGAGTGAATTCACGGGATTTTTGAATGACAAATGCTCATATCAAAAAATGAGGTTTTTTTTCTCAGTTATACTTAGGTAGAAAAAACGTAATCTTCGAGGTTGAGCCGCCTGGACATACCATTGCTTTCAAAAACATCAACAATTCATTAAAAAATAAAACTAATGATGTATAGCTTATTATATAAACAAATAAGATGATGCTAATTAAACGTTGAAAAATTCATTGATGTATCTTAAGCGGTTTTAATTTTATGACGCTAGTCCACGAACTTTCCGAACAATCCTCGTACACGTACATGTACAAAGTCTCTGTGCCCTTTTGTTTAAAAGTTAAAAGTAAAATTTAAAAAAATAGATTTTAAAGGGTTTCCTCCCTCATTCCGTGTCAGGATAACTTCAGGGTTTCCTTTGAGGGTTTTTTGAATAAATATTGGCTTTTGAAACATCAATGTACATCAGAAGTTCTCGGAGGAGTTTCCTTCCCTTTTGTTTCAACAACCTCTTGAATATAACGTCCAAACTATTTCTAAAAAAAAAATGTAAAATACATCCTCAATAGAGATTTAATTTATGAGATTCCTATGTCTGAGAAATACTACTGTACACAGTGAAATTTTCGCCCCCGTTTTATTTTCGCCCCCTTTCGCCCTTGACACAAGTGGACGAATATAAGATGGATCGAATTCAAAGAACAAAGTATAGTTTCTTAAACAAAACTGTGATTGGGCGAAATTTTGACGGGGCTAAAAGTGTAAAAGGGCGAAAATAACACGGGGCGAAAATTACCCTGTACACAGTGTTACTGAGAGAAATCCCAACAAAACAGATGAATTCAATTTTGCATTCGAAACCTTTGGTTTTTATACATTTTTTTTTACTGATTTTTGTCAAAGAGATATCCTTATCTGTTTTACGATCTCAAACACCCATTTTGATTTGTTGTAAACATCAGTATCTAATAGGCATCAACCAGATTTTTTTATTTCTAGATTGTTGTTTTTTTTTAATTTTAAAATTGCATACTAGTATCTCAAGCAAAATTAATGAATAAACATTTATATAAAAAATGCTTACTGTTTCTTTGTATTTTGAAGTACGTCATGACGGAAAATTGGATTGCCTCGCTTCTTTGACGGAGACCTTGACATACTTTTTTCTTCACCTAAGAGGATAAACATGTGAAAATCAAGATAACAGCATAATTACGCATACGCATGCAAGTTCGTCGATTTTTCTTCTGATTATACCACCTATATTTACATGTAGAAATATTTTAAAATTTTATGTTTGCAAACAACACAAAGACTCGGTAGTCCCAAATCTTTGAAAAGAAGGACGTCTTGGCCAAGGTTAAAGACAGCAGACAAGCAAGGGGTTAATGTAGAGGTACTTCATTCCTTTTAATGCACTAGACCCAAACGGCCTTTGAGCACTGAGGGATCTATTTGTGCCAGCACCTACTGCGACACGGGACCTCGGAACATTTTCTTACTTCGACTCTAGAGCAAGCGCTCTAACCATTGCGCCACGCGGGCGACTTCTGTGACATGCACTCTTCGGAATCTAAAGGTAACTTTTATGAGATTGCTATCGTAACCGATAATATTGTGTTGACCTCTGTACATGACACTGTATATTTATTTACTTGTTTGTAAATCATAGTATGCATATAATATTACAGTTAAAGGGTATAATATATAAGTTATTTCTTAAACGTTCATTCAAATCTGATCATATTTGCCCATTAACTAAAAGGCATCAAATGCAAGCATGTAAAGATAACTGAATTGCCATAGAATCGAGAGATAAACACATCTCGTATATCATGTATATGACAAGATATAAATTGACTTGAACCCGCATCAAAATTCTTATTTCTTTACAAAAGAACCAGCACCAGAACCAGGCATTATTTAAAGAAGCTTAATGTCTATAGCACAAAGCACATTATGTTGATACAGAAAAGCAAGATTTCTTTAATTTAGATACATCGAGATAAGGAAGAATTCTGAGGGAAAATAATGGTAAAAATTATTTTTATAGCATAACAACTTTTTCAATAATGGTTATAATGCATTGACAGAAAATAGGCATAGCCAGTTGAATTACTTACTGCTTGTATCATGTGTATCATGAGAATAATTTCCTTTGCCTATTCGTTCAGCGTCAGGCCTATAATACACTTTTTCATTGCGGCAGAGCTCTATCTCCGGTTTGTATGTTGTTTCTGTGGATAAAACGCTGATATGATAATAAATTCATGTTTGAAAAAATTCTGGAACACAGCTTATATAACATCATATACATTGATGGATAACGCACTCTAATATCATAAGTTTCTAATGATTGAGATTTCAATTTCTCAGGTTTGCTCTTATGTAAAACTGGAAGCCTTCAGACGGCTTAATTATTACAGTTTCAATGTTGTTCACCTTACATATCTATTTTTTTTAAAAAGGATAACGATTATATGTATTTGACGACACAATAAGATGATATGGTAAGGTGTATTAAGAAAAATAGCTTTTCTAGATTTGAAGAAAAGTTAGAAATGATTAAAGTTTCCTTTCTTTATAAGAACATTAAAACCTTCCGCATTTATTAAAATAAGAACTTATCATAAAATGGTTTCGAAACTTTTTTTTTTAAAAGTTGATGTCTAGCAGAGCAAACTACACTCGCTCATTTTTAAATTCAAATACAAAATTCCGTTTACCCACTTCAATAAATATACATTTAACTTTTACAGGCTCCTTAGTCATTTTTTGTAATTTAAATCTGAACTACCGGTAAAAATATATCATAATACTTACCTCCACAACATTTCACTTCCTGTCCAAGATTATATTTATCGTGAACTCCTGATTTTGAACAACAAATCTGAGTTGTTTGATTAAATGTCTTTTCTGGTAATGTTTCATTCATAGAGTACAAACAATTTCCATTTCTTAGCTCTGAATCAGAATAAATGTACAATGGCAAAACATAGTATTTGACCAAAGTTTAAAATTCAGAAGTAACAAAAATACAAGTTTTGCAAATAATTTACCTTTGCCCATAGTATCAAGAACCACAGCAACGAGACAAAGAAGTCGCAAATACTGTTTGCACTCCATATTTCTTCTTTTGAGAAAGTAGGAATGCTGCACATTTTATGTCTTTCTGTTTAATTTTTATATCTTTTTGTTACATTTTGAGATGACGTAAATGCAAGGGTACGTAACTCATGAATAAAAAAAAAAATCGGAAATTCATCTCCTCTGGAAAAACCCCTGTTCATCGCTATCAATAGATTTGTCTTGTTTAGTGAAATTCCCTTCTGGTAAAAATAATTATGATATCTTCCAAACCTTAAGCAAAATGCCTTTGCAGAAATACTTGTAATTATATAATAATAAAATCCATATAAAGTATTGTACAAGTGGCAGAAATGCCATTTGTGATTTATTTTAGAGCTTAAGAACCATACCTGAATCAAGAAAGCTGTTATATTCTTGATTATAATATTGAAATTCTAGTACATATATATGACTGTTGACAAATTTTACTCCAACATTTAAATTGACTGAACTTTTAAATGCTTTAAACGATCATCCTTGACAAGTACAGTAAATATTCTGTATGTATTGATGAAAATAAATCACACAGGGTTTTTATTCAAATAGTTAAAAAGATTGTAATTATTTTATCATTATAAGTGCTTTGTGTGTTAAATAAATTGCAATATATTTCATAATTTTGGGTAAAGTTGCATAAAAGATGTATAATATTTGAAGTCCTTTTAAAGCTTAATTCAACAATGGTATTAAAAGGCAAAAGTGCATTTCTTTTTTTAAAAAATGAAAGCTTAAAATATCAAGATAGGAAGTCACTGATAAACCGCCCTGAACTCTGAATGATGAATTAATGTTTCGTATTTAAGATGAATATATATGGAATGCATAAACAATGAAAAAAAGGTTTTGAAATCTGGTTTAGAAAGACTGATATCACATTATTTGTGATGTTTACGATTCCTCATATCAGCAAAACACCAGATTCATAAGCAGATGCTAACATATATTAAAAGTTCACTGTTATCTGAAAATGTATGAGGATTTTGTCATACATTCGGAGAATCCGTTTTTTAAGCAAAAACAATTCCATTAAAGTATCGTCTACAGAACCTGAAAGTCATTGAAAGTTGTTTCCCATCACATCCATAATCAATAAGTTTTGTAGAAAATATCAAATTTTTATTATTAGTTACTACATACATGTACCCCCGCTTCACTGTACTCTGTTTGGATACGAGGGTCGTTCCAATAATGCAAAATGCTATCTAAAAGTAAGAAAGGCACAAGAAGCATGTTTCATTATATTTTAATCCCTCAAAGTATTCCCTGTTAACCTCTACATACGTCTAAAGTCTTTCTTCCAGTGATCAGAACACCTAAACATACTCTTTTTTAGGCATACTCAAAAGACACTGATGAATAGTACTCTTCATCACCTAATTCAAATTTTAAATTCTTTCTTTGATTGTTTTCTTGAAGTTTCTGGAATAAAATTACCTCACTAAGATTCAATGAAATGAAAAAGATGATGATAACGAACATTGATGAATCTCAAAAAATCTACAAACAAATCTGAGAACAGAGCATAAAATACGGACCCCCGGAAATTCAAGATGTGGAATCGGGTGCCTAGGAGAAGTAAGCACCCTCTGTTGACCAATCACACTCGTCATAAGCTCTATGTATTGATCAAATAGAAGGAACATTCCATAGCCTAATTTTGTATAAAACAAAGGCCTAACAATTGGTATGAAACCCGTCAGCTAGAATAGAACCCAATGATAGGTTATATTCGCAAACAAGGACATTATAACGAACATAGAATTTACGAAATACTGACTTTGAACGAGGTTGTTGAAGTCCCTGTAACATCAGCTTATCTGTCAGTAGCCTAATCTCGGTTTAAAAATTGATCATACTCAAAGCAATCTCTTGAGTATCAAATAAGGGATATGCCATATTTTTTTTACACTGTTATTCCTTCTTAAGAGACCATATATAAATTTGTTACGTATCTCATTATGAACTTGAAACAACGATATTTTATCAAGTGTTACATTGATAGGATAAATCAACACAAAAAACCATGCTAAAACAATTTGCTAGAAGTATAAGTTCTGTATAAGTTAAGAAAATGAAATTCAATCCTGCATCATATTTTGCCATGTTTAAGGCTCTTATTCACAGAATTCTTGAGTTAGGTGTATAGAAATCAGAAAATTAGAATATTTACTATTGTTAATTAAATTAAATAAAATTAACTACAGTAATGTTTTGTTATGTTGATGACAAATACAATATTTACGGGTTTTTCTTAAATATGCTACTCTGTTAATCTGAATCTGACTGTGATTTTAACAAAACACACCATGATTCTAAAAGTGCAGGGTTACTTTTATTAGTAGGTGTTAAGTTTAAATTAATTCAATTAATATAGGACAACCTGAAGATTATTGTACTGCTGAGCAAGAGAATGCATTTTTGTCCTTGTTTTATATTTAAATGTCCTGCTAATTTGTTCTGAAATTGTTTAATGAAATCAAAATGCAAAAAAGTATATGAATATTTACAAAAAAAAAAAAAAAAAAAAAAAAAAAAAGTGGGTAGAGTTTATAAAAAGAAACCAATTGTATTTCAAAATGAATTATTGTTAAAATAAAAATGCAAAAATTGTAGGGAACATATATTTAGGAATGCATCTCAACTGCAAACCTTGACGGAAGCTCAAAAACGGTCAGAAGAAGAAACTTTTAAGAACTGCAATATTAAATGCTGGTTTACCCTTTAAGTGGGTGCAAGTCTTATGTCTTTTTTGAGCTTAGGCAGTTCGTTCTCTAATCTTATTGAGCTTCCAAGCGCTTCAGCAAGGGTGCCTAAACAATGATGAGAAAACATTCTTAATTTTTTTTGGTTTTGAAGCAAAGCCTCATCTTAAAAAAAAAAAAAAATCATTTTACTGTTGGTAGGCCTAGTGGTAAGGCGCTTGCTAAGACGCCTAACACGTAAGTATAGTAGTGATTGTGTCTTCACCAAGCGCCCGGCACTAGTAGTGAAAGTTACTAGTCTTTCGGATGAGACCTAAAAAGCCGAGGTTCCCGTGTCACGGAAGGCGTGTGCACAATAACCCAAACTGCTCAATGACCCTAAATGCTGAGTATATGTCTAAATGTATGTGGCGACGTGTCATATGAGTGAAAAATTCTCGCAAGGGACGTAAACAACAACAACAAATAATAATCAAAATTCATTTGAATACATTTTTGGATAGCATCATCGGTAACTCAATGCTGAATAATAACCAGAAAATCTTCAGATTTTTCAAAGTAATTAACGATTTTATCTAAAATTAAAGGCTTCTTGTAAATATACAATAGCTGGCATAAATGAATTCACAATAATCTGAGGAGGACAATTTGACTATAAGAATTAAAGAAATATTGTGTGAAATTCCAAATGCTTCAGATACCAGTATCTAGGAAAAAGCCTGAGGAGGGGCTTTGTGAATGCTTTTATACAACTTGGACGTCGACGCTAGACATCCATAAACAATCGACCTTAAGATAAAAGACGTAATAATATTATCCCCTGAGTATCTAACAGAATTCCTTATATATTGTACATTTTCTTTGGACATGAACTACCTTATTGCAAGATTGAGCCCAAAAATAAATAGTGAAAGATTATAACATGATGAGAAGCTGGTTTGATTAGGTTCAACAGGTAAAAGGTCCGATAACAAGGTGAAAATGAACCTCTATAGGACATAAAAATGGATCAGAAACAACAAAGAATATCTTTTGAAGGAAAACTGTCTGCTGATTATAGGTCATTCAGTTCGTTTTTTTTTTCTTTTTTAGCAATTTTTAGACAGCTTTCTACTTGATATCAATAGTTGGCATAATCAAATACATATAAATTTGAGGAAAATCAGACAATATGCATTTATGAGAAATTGTGTGAAATTATTTATTAATATGGTTAAATTGGTGAATAGTATCTAACGCTGTACAAAATCCTCAGTGTTTAGAAGAGATGGACATTATATTACAGACTTCAGCTTTAAATGTAAGAGTCAACATAGTGTTAAAACAAAGTTAACACAGACATTGTGCCAAATTTTTTTTTTATCTAAAG